AGGACTAGGACGCTTCCCTTCGGCTGTTCTGCGCAGGCCAAAGTTGGCGGTTCCAAACGACATCTAGAAAAGTTCCGGGGAGCCAAGACGGTTCGAGTGAGCTATCTGGGCCCCGTCCATCCTAGAGGTGGAGGTGTGTATGGAACTGTCATTGGAGGAGATGGAGAGATTGAGGTCTTTCCAGCGTGTCGTGGGATCTTTGAACGGGACGAACCCACGTACGACAGCCCAACGTTGGAGCTGTTAGCTAAAGCTAATCCTCTTGTGCTTGATACGCAGGACCCCGAAAAGCCTTTGCTGTTTGAACCGCCTGCGGAACCCATTGTTCCAAAAGAAGAAGAAATTGAAGCCCCAGAGGATGAAGAAATGCTTCCTGATTATGTCCCGGATTACGAGCCCACAGAAGTGGGATCTGAAGGTCATGAGGGGGTAGCAGGTGGCGATCTCCCTGAACCTGACATGGAGGACATGGAGATTGATTGGTTGACGGATCATTATCTTCAGAAGTTAGGTGAAGGACCTGACTGCCGCGCTGTGAGCAATCAAGCGGCGTCTTCCTTTGAGCTTAAGTTTGGAGGGAGTAGAATCTGTTGTCAGGTCCCCCAACAAGCTGTGTCAGAGACCTCTGGTGAGCTGTTAGATCCCAAACTCCTCTATCTGTCCATGAAATTAGAACTAGAAGAATTGGAGTCGTTCAACGTTGGAGAAGTGGTGAGCGAGCGAGAAGCGTATCGACTTGCTAAGGAGAGCGGAAGAAGAGTTCTTTCGAGCCGTTGGGTCAATACGGTTAAGAAGCCTGGTCTTTACCGCTCTAGACTTGTTGTCCGCGATTTTGCCGCTATGGGCGGCGCCACGCTCGCTGAGGGGATCTATTCTCCTACCACCAGCCTGGAAGGGCTGAGGCTCCTACTTTCCGTTCTGTGTAGAAAAGGGTCTGTGCTGTCCTGTGATGTTTCGGTAGCTTTCATGCACGCCGCTATTGCGCGGCCGGAGTTTGTGCAGCTTCCGAGTAACATAGGAAACGCAAAGACTGGCGAAAGGGTCTTCTTGAAACTGTTTCGTGCCATGAACGGGCTTCGAAGTGCCCCGCTTTCTTGGTACAAGGAGCTGTCGGCGTACTTGGGAAACCAAGGATTCCAGCAGATCTTGGACCCTACAATCTTCCGCAAGAAAACCAAGAATGGTTTGGTGATTGTCCTCTTTTATGTTGACGATCTGTTAATTTGGGCCGAGAACACCGCCGAAGCTCGAAAGGTGTATGAAGACCTGAAGAAACGCTACAAGCTTAAGCTAACAGGTGAGCTCTTGGAAGGAAAACCAGGTGAGGTGTCTTTCTTGGGACGTAGGATCTTCCGGAAAAAGCCCGGAGAGCCCTGCGTATACTTTGGCTTGGACGCCAAGTACTTGAGGTCTTGCTGTGAGGAGTACGGAATCACTAAGGTGGCGCCGAAGCTTCCACCATTAGAGCGGCGGTATGCTGACCTCATCAAGAAAGGACAGGACACACCTCTTACGCCAGAGGCGCACGAGCGCTATAGGCGTACCTTGGGACGCCTAGCCTGGGCGTCGCTTTCAAGACCTGATTTGCAGTATGTATGCGGCTTTCTAGGACGCCACCAGTCAGCCCCAAATGAAGCAGCCGAAGCTTGCATGAGGGATGTTCTGAGGTGGGTGTCTGGTTTGCCGCATAAGGTCCAAGTGTTCCCCTCACGTAGAGAGCTTTTAGCCCCTGATGAGGACCGAGAGTCAGTGTCTTGTTTTGTGGACGCGTCTTGGGGTTTGAACTCTGTGAGTGGTGGAATTGTGACCTGGAACAACTGTTGCTTGAAGACGTTCAGTCGGAAACAGACGACCGTAGCTCTGTCATCGGCAGAAGCCGAGCTAGCAGCACTGACTGAAATCGCAAGAGAGGGATTGTATATATCTCTGTTGGTGCAGACGATGGTGGAGGGGATGCCTTCTGACTCGGAGGAAGGCCGATATCAGTTGCACGCGTACGGGGACTCTGAAAGCGCCCTGTCGATAGCGCAAATGAGTACCCTCCTTAGGAAAGTCCGCCACATAGAGTTGAGAGCGGCTTTTCTCCAACAACTAGTCGCCAAGGAAAGATTGACGCTGGAGTATATACCGGGGAAACTCAACCCCGCAGATGCTCTAACGAAATCCCCAACTGCGGAGAATTTGGTCAGTCTTTGTGAGGCAGCTGGCCTCATTAACGAGCCAGAATCGTGGTCGTCGATCTCCGAAGAAAACGTCGAAGAAGTAAGAGATGAGCCCAATACCACTAAGGAAGTATCGTCGAACGCAGTAAGGTCCTCTCCGCTGGAGGTTCCTAGCTCCTGGATGGAAGCCGCGACGGCAGTGGCTAAAGGAACAGTGTCGCTCGTCGTTCTGGAGCTTTGCTGCGAAGAGTCGAGTGCTATAGCGAGAGCGTGTGCTCGAGAGAAAGGCATAGCGTACTTCGGAGTGACTCGGGAAATCAATCTTCTGAGTAAGAACACCTTTCTTGTTCTTGAAGAGATCTTAAGAGTCCTGAAGCAGGGAAAGGTCCGTGTCTTTGCGCATTTGTCTACGCTTTGCAGCTCAGGCTGCCCCTTGAGGTACCTGCGTTTCCGCAAGCGACGAGGTTTGGAACTTTGGCGGAAGACGCTAAAGATTCACAAGAGTTGCTGGAGACTTATAGGGAAGCTCTTCGGCCCCTATGCCTCTAACGAGGGTTTGCTGTTAACCCACGAATGGCCTGAAAGGTCCTCTTTGTGGAAGGAAACGGTATTCTAGAAGTCTCTAAAAGCATTGGTCTAACGCAAGGATGTCTAGTAGATAGATGCTGCTTCGAGAAGAAAGAGAAGACTTGGAAGAGATGGTGGTTCGCTTCTAATAGTGCTGCCTGTGTGTGGGAACTGTCTTCGTACGTTTGCGCAGGAAACCACGAACACTCGAAGAGTGCGTCTCTGAAGGAGTCTGGGACCTACCCGGAAGAGCTTGGAAAGGCTCTTGTCAGGATTGGAAAGAAGATCCTGAAGCAGGAGGAAAGAAAGGACTGAAGGGAACTACCCAAGGACCATCTGTGCATGAGGGGGTGTGTAAAATTCACCTTTGGCTCAAGTTTTACTGCTCAAGGCATTTTGCCTGTGTTGTGGTAGGGAGCTTTCTGTGAAACTGAGGCTTTTGTCCTGAACTCTGTGGGGTAACAGGCCTTTCCTCAAATCCCAGGTTGAGCCTCTCGAGCCATAGCATCTGAGCAGCAGAGGGGATTCGGCAAATCCACACACTTGTGGTGAGGCTTGGGTGTCCCAGCCTAACCCAGTGACTCGTGGTGTGGTGTTGTTCTTGAGTCAATTGCAGTCATGCCACGCTCTCGAAGTTACACTGTCTGTCAGTTCTGCAATGACTCCTGGATTTACAACCACAAAATCAAGCACCGCCCGTTTTGCAGATGTGGGCAGCCATGGCCCTTGCAGCAAGTGAGCTACAGCCAGGACTCGTCTCCTGGGCAGCCCCAATGGTCCCCCAATCGGACTGTTTTTGCAAAGCCAACCAAGCCTGGGAAAACCCAGCCCCACAAGGGTTTTAAGGGTGCCCAGGTCCTTGGTGAGCATTGGGACTCCTTGCCTGATGCAGTACAGAGTGTGCTCCGAAAGAATGGGTTGGCCCCATCGCAGCCCGCTGAACAAGAAGATCCGCTGATCAAACTGTTGCAGCAGCACAAGGATGCTTTGCCGGACCAGATCAAGGCAGAGCTTGACAAGAGGGACCCTGAGCCTTTTGAAGTTGCCCTTGCTACCCAAGATGCTTTCAAGACTGCAGTGGGAAAGCTGAGGGAATTGGGCAACAGGAAGCTGCTTTTGCAGCAACGCATTGACAATGCAAAGGCCGCATTCACGGCATTGCTTTCGCAGATGCAAAACTTGCAGGCGGAAATCAAGGAAGCTGAGCAGAAAGTTGAAAAAGTTGGGGGAGACTACCACGAGAAAGTCCTCAAGACTGACGACGAAGCCGATCCTATGGATGTGGAAGCTGTGTTGGGTCAGCTTGGTGTCCAGCTGACCCAGGAGCAGCAGGCTACTTGGAAAGCCATTCAAGCCGAGCATGCATCCAAGCGCCGCAAAGCCGAGGCTATGGAATCTCCGCCAGGCCTTGGGCTAGGAGATATGCTGGGTGCTGGGGCTCCAACCAAGCCGCTGGTCTCCCCACAAAAGCTTGGCCCCGCTGAAAATCCCCATCAAAAGCATGAGAGAAGCCGTTCCCCCAAGGAGAGGGAAGGAAAGGATGGAGAATCTGAAAAGTAGGAAAGGGGCCGAACTGAGGAGGCTGGGATTGCTGCAGGCCCGCCACCTCGGTGTTATGGCCACACACCTGCGCAACTTGACTCTCCGACTGCGCCTGGGCTTTTGGGTGGCTCCTTTTCCCTTTGTTCGTTTCTTGCTTCCCAAGCCAACTGGTGCTCAGTTTTGATTTCGCAAGGTCAGGTGCTGTTTGACAAGTGGGTGCTGCAAGTGAGCGAGGATTTGCTTCCCGTTGACTTGAAGTCTTCTCACGATCTTTTAAACTGGTGTGAGGCAGTTTGTACCTTCCTTGCTCAGGACGAATGTGCATCTGACCTACTTAGGGTCCCTGGTGGCCCTCCTTTTGTGACAGGCCATCTTCGTGATGGTACGATTGGGAGTGCACTCGCTGCCGTTTTCCATGCATTGCCACTTCCGACCTTTACCGCTGAAACACCTATCCTAGAAGAACCGGCTTGGGTGTTACCCGTCCGGACTGTTAAATGGTCTCCTGCAAGCAGGGCTGTGCCCTTGAAGACCACGGGCCCTTTGTTCTTTTCCCAATCCCTGTTTGATGATGGAGATACTGTTGTGTCCTCGCTGGACATTGTGGAGCCTTCGGTCAGGCCTAGAAGGCCGAAGACTGGCACCCCGACATCTCATCCCCGGCTGACCCGTCAGAAGAAAAGCAAGGAATGGATGGCTCTCCTTGATATTCTTGAGGCTAAACCAGTGATGGATATGCCGGCTAAGGAGGCTGAACTGCTCCAATGGATTGAGGACTTTGGGGAGCAGTACGAACAAGGATCTTTGGAGTGCTGGACCTTGAATAGGATATGCCAACTTCTGGAGCGGTCTAAAGATGACACCCTTGGAGTGATCGAGGCGATTGAGGCTGTTCTGGCTGGTTTCCGCAAACAGAATCCTGGTCCCAAGTCCCTCCTCATAGGTCAAGCCAACATAACTTCGTACCGAAGCGAAGTGCGTACTTGGTTGCTGGACCGTGACGAATCCATCTGGCTGTTGCAAGAAACCCATGTCCCTGAATCAGGTACTAAAGCCCTGGTCAATAAATTCCAATCTGTTGGCAGACAAACATGGGTAGGGCCGGCCGCTCTGACCCAGGGAGGAAGCTCAGGAGGACTTCTCACTCTTGCACCCTCGCATCGCAATGCTGCCACAGGCCCGGCCTTTATGTCTGAAGGCAAGGGGTTTGTTTCTGTTTCGATTCGATTTCAGGGCTGGGATCTCTTGTTAGTTAACTTGTATCTCCAGTCAGGAGTGGGCCCGACTGGTGGACTCAACCCGGAGATCCTTTCTCGTCTGGCAGCGGTCCTTGACCAAACCAGCACCCAGTGGCTGGTGCTTGGTGACTGGAATTGTTCCCCGTCCGAATTGCTCCGCCTAGGGTTTGTTTATAAAGTGAAGGGCCAGGTTGTCGCCCCTAATGGTCCTACCATTAACACTGGAGGCACCTTGGATTATGCTGTTGCCTCCAAGAGGATGGCCCCATTGCTCTCCGTCTCGTCCTCTTGGGATGTCCCATTCAAACCGCATTGCGCTGTGACGGTGGAGCTCAGGGTTGGGGTTGCAGATCTGCCTGTTCGTCAGCTCAAGGGCTTCCCGTTGGAACCCACTGCCCTCTGCCCGGACGAATTGTCCATGCCGGAAGTCCAACCTGGTGGCCTTTGGGATTGGTCCCGACCGATTGATTATGAATGGGCTTCTTTCACTGCTGGGGTGGAAGAACAACTCTTCTCTGTGCAGGCAGGTAGAGGGTGGAAGCTGGAGGTCTCTTTCTCGCCACTCGTGAAGACCACCAGCCCGGAAAAACTCTGGAAAGGGTCGAGCCCGGCTTTTTGGCAATCCTTCCTCACCTGGACCTCTAAAGCCCTGGGCACTAATCCTGACCCTAGAATCACCCCCCTCTTCGTGGAGGCGAAGAATCGCATACCTGAATTCTGGTCTGAAATGGCCTCTTGTACTGCTCAGGCCTTGCAGGACCTCCTAGGTGCTCCTGACATCCAAAGCCATCACCTTGCACTTGAGATTATCGCACACCAGGGGCGATCAGCCTTGAAAGAGGCGGTGCGCAAGAGTGATGAAGCTTACTCGCAATGGTTGCAAGAAGCTTGCAAAGGGGGTATGCGAGGCCTGTACAAGGCTTTGAAGTCTGAAGATTCCATCCCGGACAGGCCATACAGAAACATACCACTCGAAATTCGCCCGCACATCAGGCGGGCTCACTGGGCTGACGTGTGGCAGCCCATGCCTGGCAATGAGGTCAATCCCAATGTTGATTTTGATTGCCTCAGGGATGCTTCTGTAAGCCAAGCCAAAACCCTTCCTCCCATAACAGGTCCAATGGTGGCGAAGGTGATCAAACGAATGCCGACTAAAGCTATTGGTGCAGATGGGTGGAGTGTCCAGATGCTTAAATGTCTTGCCCCCTTGCAGCTTGAAAGATTGGCCCAATTCTTTAATACCTGGGAGGGTCAGGGTGCCTTCCCGACCCAGCTCTCGGTTGTTCTGGTTGCACTCATTAACAAGTCTGAGGATGAGGAGCGCCCAATTGGACTGACGCCAGTCCCATACCGATTGTGGGCTAAGATACGTTGGCCTGTCTTTGAGAAATGGCTCCGGGAATATGCTGCCACCCAGGATTGGGACAGGGCAAAGAAGGGCCTTTCAAGTCTTGATGTTGCGTTGCGCCGTAAGCTGTCGCATGAAATTCTCCATCGGAAAAAGCGACATTCAGTGACAGTGCTTTTGGATTTAAAGGCCTTTTATGAAAATGTCCGACATGATAATTTCGTCAAGCAGGCCATTTCCCTCAAAGTTCCGCCGTTGATCCTGAATGCAGCAATGTCGCTATACTCTGCTCAGCGCTTGATCAGTGCTGAACACTGTGTCTCTGGTCCGATCAAGCCCACCAAGGGCTTAGTTGCGGGCTGCCCATTTGCGCCTGGCCTCAGCAAGATCCCTTTTGACGAGATCCTGCGCCCGGCATGGGTTTCTGGCCTTGCCAAAACCATTGATCTTTACATTGACGACACTAGCTTTGACACTGAGGCTGGTAACCCCCACACAGCAGCGCGCCGGGCGGTGCAATTGTATAAGGCTGTGGTAGGAGGTTTGACAGCTGCTGGCCTCTCAGTCAGCCTGGGCAAGACAGCTTTTGTATGCTCGTCTCCAAAAGTTGAAGCTGCCCTTAAAGAGTATCTTCCTGAATCTGATCAAATCAAGAATGCCGCGAAGGACCTGGGGATTGATTGTACGGCTGGGCGTGGAAGGCGCATTCCGTTCCACCGTAAAAGGTTTGGGAAGGGCGTTAAGCGCAAGGCTAGGCTCTCGACCCTGCGTGTGAAATCGATGCCAGCTAGGGTCAGAGCCCTGAGGGCGGGGGTCCAAACTGTGGGCCTCTATGGCCATGAGGCAGTTGGGCTTGCGCCAAAGCGTATGCATTGGTTGCGTGCTTCCTTCGCACATGAATTGGGGCGAATGTCTTTGGGCTCGGTTGACCTCACCATTGACCATGCGTGCCCTAAGCGGCCGGACCCGGCCTTTATTATCATTTCCCAGCATTTCAAGGCCATTCACAGGCTTCTGGGCTTCATTCCCGATAGCCAAAGGCAGCACTTTGATGATGTCTTGCCGGGTATGTGGCTTGAGTACTCACAGGTGGAGTACCCCTGGAAGCGCGCTGCAGGGCCGGTTGGGGCCCTCCTGTGTTACCTGCTTGACTTGGGTTGGACCCCGGTCAGTGCGGACACTTGGAAATGCCCTGAACAATCGCACAGCGTCACCACCAAGGTAGGCATGCACCACCTCCTTTGCTCCCTTTCTAAGGAAACAGATAGGTGGAGGCTCGCACGTATAGCCCAGCACGACATGCTTGAACCTCTGAGTGTGGGAATTGATTGGGCCCCCCTCAGAAAGCTTAGGAATAAGATGGCAGGCCAGGAGAGGTCAGGACCCATGGCTGTTTGGCAAGGAGCAATTCGTGCTGATCCTTGTGCCACTTGCCTGAGGTGCGGCTGTGCTGCTACCATGCAACATGTCTTATGGGAGTGTGACTGGTGGCAAACCAACCTCCCGGAACCGGCTTCCTTTCCTAGATTCCGGCAAGAGTGGCCCATTTCCTCACTGTGGGCCAGGGGCCTTCTGCCGATTTCGCCTTACCCTGATGATGGGGAATGGGTACGAACTACTGGTGCCTGGTGTGATGGCCAGATCATTTGTGGCGAGGCGATATACTTTGCTACTGATGGCTCCCCGGGGAAATCCAAGGACCCCAGGTTCCATCGGTATACCTGGGCTGCGATTGCCTTTAAGCTTGAAGGGGATGAGCCCGTCACGATCGCGACAGCTGTCGGCTCACTGCAATCTCCGCTATCGGTGTTCCGGGCGGAGGCAGCGGCTGTCAAGTTTGTAGCTGAGCATAGTGAAGGGAACGCAGACCTCACCTTGGATTGCAAGGGCATCCTGCCCAGAGTGAATGGTACACCTTCCATCCAATCTGCCGACCTCTTCGACCCCATTCGACTGCATGCACAGAGACTCAGCCTTAACTGGGTATCCTCGCATTTAACGGAAGAACAATTCCGAGCACAGTTTGGTGCTAACCAACTTTGGAGGCGACGTGCTAACGAAATTGTGGACCAGCTTGTTGGCACGGCTGCCGAAGCTCGTAGGGACCTGAACTTTGAATCCCAAATTAAAAAGCGTGATGCAGTTGCCATTCAGGTTAACACCTTACTGGCCAGGAGAGCTGCAGCTCTCCTTTCGTATGACAAGGACCAAGGACCGCTGGTTCAGTGGCCTGACAAAGAGCAACGAAAGCTCCGCCAAAAGCCCAGGGTCAGGGATTCGGGTGTCCTGAAAAATTCTAAGCTCCCCAAAATCAAAGGTCCTAACAAAAGGGAACAGATTGAAGGCCTTCTTGCTGGTACACAGAACTTGGGGCACACCTGGGTAGAGGGTTGTAGGCTTCCTTCCAACCTTTCAGCGCGGTGCTCGAGGTGTGAGCTATACATCCAGCAGACTGAGCCCCTCCCTACCTTTTCCCTTAAGATCAAGCACCCTTGCCTAGGTGTTCAGGCGGACCCTCCTCCTTGGGATCCCCACCCTGATCATGTGTGGGTTAATTTAGGTAAGTCCTGGGTTTGCTCAAAGTGTGACAAGATGGTCAAAGTTGGTGTCCGCAAAATCCCGACCTGGATTGTAGCGCCTTGCAGGCCCACCAAAAGTAAGGTTGCTACTGCTAGCTCCAAAAAAGCAAAGGAGGTGACTGACACTGGGGTTCAAAGTGTTCGGGCCTTTTTTGTGTCGTCCTCCAGTCAGGAACCTTCACCTAAAATTTCTGTTCCCAAGCCTAAGCCAAAACCCAAAGCGAAGCAGTCTGGGCTCAAGCAAGCTAAGATTGCCTTTTAGCACGCTGCCGCTAAGACTGCCTCCTGAGTATGCCTCCGAAGCATAAATCCCCTGCCTCCAAGGCCTACTCAAAAGCCCGGCCGGGCAAGCGAGAGAGAGCTCGGCTTAGAGGTGCAGCTCCTAAGAGAGCGCCGCCTGCTGGTGTGAACCCCCCGCCTCCCAGGCGGAGAAGGGTGGAACCGCAGGATGAGCAAGCCCCTGAGCCTGGGCCACAACAAGTGCAACCCCCTGAGCCCTTGGTGGATAACCAGGCTCAGGGGAGGAGGAATCCTGGAGTTGTGCTTCGGGAAAATCCTCAGCTCGAGCAGCACAATCCTGTGTACCCCCCCCCAGCCGTGGTGGCAAACCAGGCTGAGAGGGATGAACCTCCTGGAATTGTCCTTCGGGAGAATCCCCATGCACCTGGGGCTGGTCCGGTTTTGGGTGCCCCAGACCAGGACAGCTGCTCTGAAGAAAGTGAAGAGGAGCCAATGGTGCCTGATCCCATTGTGCATCCCGAGCCTCCTCCAGCACCGCCAGCTGCGCCTATGTTGCCTGCCCCGTTGAACTTTGACGATATGGATCAAGAAGCGGGCGCAGCCTTTGCTATTGCTGAGAGGGCTCGCAATACCAAGCCAGGACTGGTGGCTTTCAAATCCGATCTGGGCTATCCTGGTGTTTTCCAGGCCCTACCCAAGGACCTGATCCACGTGTGGTTCAACGACACGGGGGACAGCACTGCGGCGTATATCCACAATGGAAGAACCAGATTCGGATATGACGCTGGTGGGGGCTACGTCTTGAAGGTTGGGACGAAGCAGGCCTTTGGTGATGAGGTGGCGATTTCGGCCTTGCTGCCTAAGGTGGCAGCCACCATCATTGGGGCTGGATCTACGACACTGCAGGTGCTGCTCTCTGGGCGACCATGGGAGTTCAGGTCCCATTTGGTGGCGTGGTCGATGGTGGAAAAAATCGAGCTCCTCACGGATTATGGTTCTCGGAACCAGATCCACCCTCAGTGGTCCTTGTATGCCTTCGCCCTCCTTTTGCAATTGAGCCGTCATTTTGCTCTTCGTGATGTGTCAAAAACCAACCTGGGAATTAAGCCAGGACTCGGTGCTGCGACGCCCATGTTGTGTTTTTTCGACCTCGCGGATTGGCACTTCGAAGGGCTTAATGCTGGAAGGTGGATTCCCAAGTATAGCTTGCGCAGCTTCGTCGAGACCCTTCGATGTGTCTGTGACGTTACGCCACTGGAGCCGTATCTCCGCAGGCAGGCGGTGGTCCCTTGCCTCAACGAGATTATTGCAGGTCTCCCCGCTGCGCTCAAGGCAAACTTGGAAATCCAAATGGTCCTCATGGACGGCCGACTTTCTGATTGGGCTCACCTTGCTGCATTGGCTAACCAATAAGCTTGGGCCTTCCAAGCTTTTGGTGCTGTCAGTCAGGTCTTGGGGTCTCCAGACCATTCAAGGCGTGGGCCCAGTCTTGTTTGCTGTGTGTGGTTGCAGATGCTCGGGTGTTGAACCCCGACTGTCATTGCCTGCTACCGTGAGTCGTGCTTGGGCGTTCCAAGTGCAGCTAGGCCTTGGTGTAACCAGGCCTCAGGCATGGGTGCCAGCCTGAAGTGAGGGGCGCAGCTTGTAGCTGTAGGGTAGGTGTAACCCCGACTGTCTCACTTCTGAGCTTGGACTCAAGGCCTACTCCTTGCAGCTACTGCGTGAGTGGCTTTTTACTTTCTTAGGGTAGGTGTTCACCCGACTGTTTCACACAGAGCCAATGGACTCAAGGCCTCCGGCCGCTTCGTGCTTGCGTGTAAAATTCACAAAGGGGTATGTTTGGGCAGGTACTTCACCTGTTCCTCCTGCTTGGCTCGTGTGGAGATGTGTGAATCGAGGGCATGGATCCGTCAAGGTGAGACGACGAGAATGTGCAGAATTGGGCCTCAATAATATGGAACGGTCTATGGGGATTGACCACCCCGCTGGTAGAGGGATAGCGGCCTCTGAGAATCGGAGGGCATGGATCACCTCCCGGCAAAAGCCACAGGAAGTATGCCCTGTGCATGCAAGAGGCAGCCACCGTAACCAGAGTCCATGAAGCCTTGGGCCATGACCTGGTTTGAAGACATGTCCGGCCTCACTACGGTTGAGGGGTGTGGATGGAAGCACTGGGGACATGCAGTGAGACTCGTAGAACGAGCATCTGGGTCTACAGGAATTGACCTCCTTTCGGTTGAGGGATAGCGGCCTCCACGAACGAGGGCATGGATCACCTCCCGAATAGACAACACAGAGAATGTGCAAGCATACAGGCAATTTGCCTTGGCCAAAGTCTTCGAGCCACTGCAACGACTTGGTCAAAACGACATTCCGGCCTCACTACGGTTGAGGGTAGCGGTACGTCAAAACCGAGGACAAGGAATGAGAGGGGGAACTTGCCGGCAGTTTCACCCCACAGTTTTAGTAAGCTTTTGTTTCACTTGAACCCACAGCCCCTTCGGGTGGCTACGCCTCGCAGCGTGCAGACGTAAAATTCACCTATGGATCAGGAAGCGGGCGCAGCCTTTGCTATTGCTGAGAGGGCTCGCAATACCAAGCCAGGATTGGTGGCTTTCAAATCCGATCTGGGCTATGCTGGTGTCTTCCAGGCCCTCCCCAAGGACCTGATCCACGTGTGGTTCAATGACACGGGGGACAGCACTGCGGCGTATATCCACAATGGAAGAACCAGGTTCGGATATGATGTTGGCGGTGGCTACGTCTTGAAGGTTGGGACGAAGCAGGCGTTTGGGGATGAGGTGGCGATTTCGGCCTTGCTTCCTAAGGTGGCAGCCACCATCATTGGGGCTGGATCTACGACACTGCAGGTGCTGCTCTCTGGGCGACCATGGGAGTTCAGGTCCCATTTGGTGGCTTGGTCGATGGTGGAAAAAGTCGAGCTCCTCACGGATTTTGGTTCTAGGAACCAGATCCACCCTCAGTGGTCCTTGTATGCCTTCGCCCTCCTTTTGCACTTGAGCCGTCATTTTGCTCTTCGTGATGTGTCAAAAACCAACCTGGGCATTAAACCAGGACTCAGTGCTGCGACGCCCATGTTGTGTTTTTTCGATCTCGCGGATTGGCACTTCGAAGGGCTCAATGCTGGAAGTTGGTTTCCCAAGTATAGCTTGCGCAGTTTCATCGAGACCCTTCGATGTGTCTGTGACGTCACGCCGTTGGAGCCGTATCTCCGCAGGCAGGCGGTGGTCCCTTGCCTCAACGATATCATTGCGGTTCTCCCCGCTGCGCTCAAGGCAAACTTGGAAATCCAAATGGTCCTCATGAACGGCCGACTTTCTGATTGGGCTCACCTTGCTGCATTGGCTAACCAATAGGCTTGGGCCCAAGCTTGTTGTGTCAGTCAGGTCTTGGGTTCTCCAGACCATATCTTCTGGGGCCAGCCTGGGTTGACGTGTGGAACTGCATGCGCGCCTCTATGCTGAGCCACTGGCATGTGTTACCCGGCCTAAGCTTGGTGCTCCAGGCTAGAAGGGGTGGTGTGACGGCCAGTGGTGTTACCAGGCCTAAGGCGTGGTGATCCAGCCTGCAGATGAGCCGGCAGTAGTTGCTCTTGTGTACCATAGGGTAGGTGTTCCACCGACTGTTTCACCTAAGCCATTCATGTAGCCACAGGGTAGGTGTCCCCCCGACTGTTTCACCTGAGCCAATGTGACTCCAAAGGCCTACGGCCGCCTCGTGCGTGTGGTGTAAAATTCACCTGCTCCAAAGAGTCCGCCAGTGTCAAGGGTTTGCACACTGTCTCGTTGTTTGTTGACATTAATGGGTTTTACGACAGCGCCTCTTGGCAGCGGCTTTGCGAACAAGGCTTGCGGTTGTCTTTCCCAGCCTTGGCCCTGTGCCTTTCCCTTCGCCTCTACCAAGGAGGCCGCACGGTGGTGGGTGAATCCCAGCCCAGCCCCACTATTTTCCCAGGCCGGGGCATGATCCAGGGATGCCCGTACGCCCCCACCGTGGCCAAGCTCACCATGTCTGAACCCTTACACAGACTGAAACGAGTCACAGTCTTGCATCATTGCGACGTATGGTTGGATGATGTCTCTGCAGACTCCCTCCATGCCTCGCCAGATATAGTCGCGGGCGCGGCGTATGAAGCCTTTCGAGTGCTCAAGGCCAGTCTTCAGGCTGAAGGTCTCGTCCTCAGCCAAGAGAAAACAAAATTTGTGGCCGGGACACCCCGTTCGGCCGCGGCGCTGCGACAGCTGCTGCGGCCGGGGGACCCTGACATAGTCGACGTGGTCAAGGATTTAGGCCTTGATAGTGGCAGTGGCCGCCGGCGCAGGACTACTACTGCCCAGAAACGCTTTCGGGTAGGTAGCCTTCGTAACCTGAAGTTGGGCAAGCTTCGTATCCCGGCACGCCGCGTCCGGCTACGGTTGCACCGTTCTAGTGTGGTCACCTCGGGTCTTTATGGCCATGAAGCACAAGGGGTTGCCCCTAAACATATGAAAACCATGCGCGCGGCGGTAGCCCGACACGCAGGCAGGAGCCGATATGGTTCCACGGATACCATCCTAGATATGACGGCCCATGAGGTTCAGGATCCCTACCTTATTGTGGTAACCCAGCACGTGGAAAGTCTTTTCAGGATGATGGCCAGATGTAACCGCATGGGATGGGAGGCAGTAAAGGACACTTGGCGGGTGGTCTGGAAGCGGCTGGAGGCTGCGAAGCACGGTTGGCCTGTGGTCACTGGACCCATCTCTGCCATGTGTCAATACCTCCGCGACCTCCAGGTCGACGGCCACGATCCTTCCCGCTGGGTTTTTGAGGAGCGTGTTCTCGAAATCAAGCCCTCTGAGGTTTCGGTTGTCTGTCAAACCTCGTCTTTCCTCACGGACATCATCAAGACCCAGAGGTCTCGTCGCATCGGATCGGCCTCGTCGGCAGCGGGTGCTGCGGGCGGGGTCGATTGGACGGTCCCGCGTCGCCTGCTCAAGTCAGTGCGCACCAAAACAACCCGGTACGCCTATCGGGCTGTTTTCCAAGGGTCCATTCTTCATAATGGCAATGGTGGCAAGGATATCTGTAAGTTTTGTGGCGATCCCGGGGCCACCCTGCGTCACCTCATGTATGAGTGCCCTTCCTTCCCTGGTGGCATGCGGTTACCGGGGTACGTTCTGGCGGAGAAGCGCCGTTTCCCTGATGACTGCCTGTGGCTTCGGGGTATGCTTCCCCTTAAATACCTCCCAGTCGCTCCCTCGGGGGACCTAGAAGTGGTCAAGACAGGCGTGTTTCTCACGTCCTCCCAGGTAGTAGCAGACGGGTTGGTGGTTGCTACGGACGCGTCAGGGGGAAAGTTCACCAAGGATCCGCGACTGCGAAGAGTGAGCTGGTCTGTCGTCGTGGGGCGGGTTCAAGATGGTCTGTTTCAGGAGTTAGGGACCATGTCCGGCCTCACCCCCCCCGGCACAAGCGTCGCGCACGGTGAATCTTATGCTATTGTGCAGACGATTAAACACACCCTTGGTCAGGTTGACCTCACGGGGGACTGTAAACCAGCCCTAAGGACCCTCACCAAAAAATCCTTTCAAAAAACAACCCCGGCTTTTTAGGGCCCGGTCGGAGGACCGTGGTGGGATAAGGCCCACTTGGGTAAAATCCCACCTAACTAGCCGTGAGTTCGAAATTAGGTTTGGCTTTTCCCAGCTTTGGAGACACCAGGCCAACCAGTGCGCCGACGAGTTGGCAGGCAAACGAGCTGCCACCATACCGCCTGTAGCAGGGCGGAAAGTCCAGGACCTGGATAGGCTCGTAACCAGGATCTGCGATTACCTGGCGTCGCGAGCTGTGGTTGTTTTGAAACATGCCTCAAAAGATGATTTTGTCCCCCGAAGCCAAAGGCAGGAACCCCAACCACCCAAAGGGCCTAACAAGCGCCAGCTTTTGTTGGCGAAAGTGGACGTCCCGGAAGCAGTAGGTGGCCATGTCTGGCAAGTAGGGGGGTTAAAAACAAATAATCTGTCAATCACTTGTGTGAAGTGTAAGCTTTACCTCCAGCAGGTTCATGAGATGGATAGGCTAGAACGTTTGCTTGCTCAGCCGTGCATTGACATGCCCCGCAATGGCCCCCAGTTCTGGCCTACCCTTCACCCGACGCACCGGCTCGAAAATGAGGGACGTAGATGGCTGTGCTCCGGGTGCCATCTTACCCTCCTTCCAGGCCACTCTCAGCCTTGTTTAGGTCTCCAGAAACCCTGTAAAAAACTTCACAACAACCAAACCCTGTCCTTTCATGCCCAGGCCTCGGTTTCCACGCCTCCTGGGCGGCCGGACTCTCCAGGTTCTTCTTCAACTCTGAAGGAAGCGGCTTCCCTTCCTAAGGCTGCAGAGTCGCACGTGTCTGAGGTGGGGTCTGGCAAAACAAAGGAAGTGGTTTCCCTTCCTGGGGCAAGTGCACGCGTAGCCGGGCTTGCAAGGGAGCCTGCCCCGAAGCCGGCCAGCCGTGGCAAAAAGAAGAAAGAGCTTCCCTCTGGTCAGCAGACCCTTTGCTTCAAGAAGCAGTGATGGGGGGCTCGCAGGGCAGGGGTCGTGGCCCCTTCTGGCGCGAGCAGCGCCAACGAATGGCAGAGGGGAAGTCGTGGCGCTCTACGGCGACCCTCCAGCATTCCAAGCGACGACCTCCACCCCACATCCGCAGGCAACAACGCATAGACCAGAGCCTTCCTGCAGGAGACGACCAGCAGGAAGGGGCACCCCTCCCTGAGGAGGCGGCACCTGGGGGTTCCAGCTCGTCGGCCCAACCGGCGGCGAAGGCTTGGCCGCCTCCCCCCCCTCCGGCTCCTCGGCGCGACCGTCGGCGCTCTCCTTCTCCTCGTTTGGTCCTGCGCTAAGCCCTACCCCTCCCACCCCTCCGCGAAGGAGGCGGCCTCAGGTAGCAGGGTCCGGTGTGGATTTGCGTTCGGTTCCGCGTGATTCAACCCGTTCCCCTCCACCTGGGAGGCGGTCAGAAAGGGCTACATCCAGCCGTGACCTTCCCAACCAGCATGCACGGCCTAGATCCCCCTCAAAGTCCAGGGCCCGGCCCCCTGCAGACCCGGCCCTGAGGCTGAGGAGTCCCCCTGGGGCCGGCGGCAACGCATGCGTAGAGAAGCTCAGGACTTTACCCCGGGTGTGCGCGCGGCTGGTGAAGCAGCAAGCTACATCAAGCGGCCCACCTCGCCTCGGCACTTCCTCCCTCCAGATCTCACACTTACGTGGGACCCGATTCGCCAGGTCGTGGTGGAAGCCCGAGTTCTCACGCGCCTGGGCTGGGGACAAAGCCGTGTAGGCTACCAGCTGTCTCAGGCGCTGGTCTTGAAGCTCACGGATGATGCATCCTTTAACGGTCCGGAGATTGATATGGCGCGGCGTTTTCCCCGGCTCATGGCTCCCATCCTTACCAGTGGCTCCATGTGGATTGGACTAGGGCCTGAAGGAGAGCCAGGTGCGGGCCTGCATCGTTTCCTGTACCACGTGCAAGAGCATCGCTGCCAGGCCCGTGAGTGGCTCCAGGAAAATGCTGCCAATGGTCTCCGTGTTCACTCCTACCTCCTGGCCACGTTGGCCACCTTGTTGCACTTGTATGCCTGTGGGGTTGATGCCAAGGATGTGGGCATTTCAAACCTGAGCCACAGGCCGCTGGGCACGAGGGTGGTTCCCCTTCCGGCCTTCATCGATGCCAACAACTGGGGCCCCTCCCAAGGGAGGCCGGAATGGACTGGCTTTTGGAGGGTAGTTGCCAAATACTGCCCAAATGATGTGGGCTACTTTCGGCAAGTTTCCAGGGGTCCACCTCAAGCGTGTTTTGACCAGATCTGCAACACCCTTGGACCTTTGGGGGAAGAAGTTCGCTGGCTATGCACTACCCCGGCCTAGGAGGCTGTGGAATCTGGGCTGCTTCTCTGGGGGCATCCTTTCCCAGCCTTAGGGCTGCGGTCGCAACCTCTTCCTGATGAGTAGCTGTAACATAGTTCCCTGTAGATGGCCTGTGGGTGCACCACATTCCCAGCTTGTAAGCTGTGGTTTTTGCCGTAGCAGGGTGACCGACTGCCCGAGAGATTGTGTCTCGCCCCAAAGGGGCTCCGGGCGAATTCGTTTTGCATGCAGGACACCCACTGGGTAACGCTCTCGCGCTTGCTGAAGTAAAATTCACCTGTAGTGTTTGCCCAGTTGGTGCCATGTGGTGTTTGACCATACAGAGAGAAGCATGAGAGTTTTTCTGCTGCATGACTTGGCGTGAGCATGTTTGGTTTGTCCCAAAGCCCTTAAGCATGTGTGGCATGTCTTGCTTGACTTTGGCATGTTCTTGTCTTGTTGGCATGGCCTAGGATGAGTTTTGAAGCACTTGGAACTGCTTGAGAGCAGTAGTGAAGAAGTGCGTGTCAGAACTCTGAGGTTCTGTCTTGTTGTAACTCACTCCGTGTCCCCGCCACTTCGTTCGTTGCCGTTGGACGTGTAGGATGGGAGTAGGAGTGCAGAGTGGACTCTGAAGCTTCGCTGTTTTGCTGTTCGGAAGTGACCTGAAGTCCCCGAGGTGTAGACCAAGGCAGTTGCATTGTTCTTTTGCTTTACCTCCTTTGTAGAACAAAGTTGAGATGGAATTCGTAGCTTTTTGGAGCCCTGAGCTCTTGGAGAGAGCTTGCTGCAAGAACTGAAGCTTGCTGAACACTTTGGTGTTTGGCTCAAGTGCAAAGTGAAAAAGAGACTGCTGCGCGAGCTCTGCTTTTCACATTCCCCTTGTCCGCTCCAGTTCTGAGATGGTTGTTCGCTGCACAGGGAACACCCCGAAGAGCATTCCACAGTCCTCGCCATGCAAGATTCCACTCTCCACCAGAGGCGTCGAAGCTCAGCTCAAACATCAAGACAAGGACCCCTGTGCCCAACCCTCAGAGCCAATGGGGTGGAAATTGGGAGTTTCACCAATGAAAGACCGCTTACTGCACGTGTCGCGGCTGACGCGGCAAACGCCCACGCCGAAAAAACGAAAGGCTTTAGGGTGGTTTTAGAGTTTGGAGTTTAGGGTTTTTAAGAGTTTAGGTTTGGGTTTTCTTGGGTTTTTGGAGATTTAGAGTTTCGAGGCTCAAGGTTTTCAGGGTTTAGGGTTTTAAGGGTTTAGAGCTTGGTTTGGGTGGGTTGGGGTTAAGGGTTCTGTTTAGGATCTTTAGAGATTAGGATTTCCCTTTGTTCGGTTTAGGGTTGAGGGGTTTTTGGGTTTAGGGTTCAGGGCTTCTAGGGGTTTTTTAAGTTTGGAGCTTCTTAGGGTTCATAGGGTTCGAAGTTTTTTGGGTTCGGGGTTTTAGGGCTCAGGGTTTTTAGGGTTGAGGGTTTTGGGGTTTGGGGTTTAGGGATTTTTAAGCCCCCTTCCATTTGCAAACACACCATTCGCGTAATGGGTTCGAAAAAAAAACAAGGCGGCGGGGTTGGAGCAGGGCGCAGCCTCCCATTTGCAAACACAATGCTCGCACGATGGGTTTGAAAAAACGTGCCTAGGGCCTATGTTTTGGGGCTTTTAGGCCTGAGGGTTTAGGGTTTTTTTGCGGTTTGGATCTATTAGTGTTTAGAGCTTAAGGTTATTTAGGGTTTATGGGTTTTGGGGGTTTTTTAGGTTTTTAGGGTCTAGGGTTCAGGGGTTTTGAGGGTTGAGGGTTTTTGGGGTTTAGTTTTTTAGGGTTTAGGGTTTTAAGGGTTTAGAGCTTAAGGGGTTTGAGGGTTTGGGTTTTTGGGTTTTAGGGCTGGGTTTGGGGTTAAGGGTTCTTGGGTTTAGGGTTCTTTAGGGCTTTTTAGGTTGCGGTTGAGGGGTTTTCAGGGTTTAGGGTTCAGGGCTTCTTAAGCCCTAGGGGTTTTAGGGTTTAGAGTTTCGGGTTTAGGGTTTAGGGGCTTTTGGGGTTTTTAGGGTTTCGGAGTTTAGGGTTTCGGGGTATTTAGGGCTTAGGGTTTTTAGGGTTGAGGGTTTTTGGGGTTTGGGGTTTGGGGATTTATAGGTCTTTAGGGTCTAGGTTCCGGGTTTGAGGGTTTAGGGTTTTAGGGTTTTAAGGGTTTAGGGGTTTTTTTGGGTTTAGGGCTGGGTTTGGGGTTTAGGGTTCTTTGGGGATTGGGGTTTCTGTTTGGGCTTAGGGATTAGGGTTTTTTGGGGCGTAGGCTTTGGGTTGAGGGGATTTTAGGGTTTAGGATTTTTTGAGGGGTTTAGGGCTGGGATTTTAGGGTTCAGGGTTTAGGGTTTTTTTTCGGGTTAAGGGTTTAGGTTAGGGCTTGTTAGGGTTCAGGGTTTGGGGGTTTTATGGTTTAGGGCTTAGGGCGTTTTAGGGTTAGGGTTTCTAGGGTTTAGGGCTCAAGGGTTTTTAGGGTTCAGGGTTTGGGCGTAGGGACCTAGGGGTCTATCGCGCACGCAGGGGTCTATGTCATGTTTATGGGAGGTGCCAACCTCTATCCACCCTCAAGGTAGACGGGTAGGTAGGGAGGGGTCTATGCCTTTCCGATAGACTCCCAAAAAAAAGGTACCGATCCTAGAACAGAGAGACGGCTACTTGGGGGGACCGTACTCAATTTTGGTGGACCCCATGTACACAACACCTCCAGCCGAATTGTTCTACTCTCAAATAACAGTCAAAGGAAAACTTCACACAAAACTGACCGCAGCCGCACCCAAGGATTTTGTTGGGATGGGGCTTCGGTTCGCCCGGGAACGTTTTTGCAGGTTTTCTCGGAGGAGTTTACCATTACGAACCCTAAACCCTAAACAACTGAGTATATCACCGTGTGTGTCGCCCGTCAAGGCGTTTTGAACAAAGGCGCCCACGACATCCGACTGCCTCTCATAACCTTTCTCTTGTTTTACCTTAGTGTAGCTCTCGTGGTGTGGTGCACATGCAACAGGTGCATGACATTTCAGGGTGCATCTCTCCGGGTATAGTTTGTTGCTATACCGACCGCGTGTAGAAACCTCCAAGCTCCAAACCCTGTATCCTCTCTTAAGCCCGCTGAACTTTCATATTATCCTTCAGGCAAACATCTTCTCAGCCAACAAAGATTCGACAAAAGCACCTGTCATGAAGGATGTCGGGTGGGCATATACCTGTCGGTGTAAAAAGTATATATAGACTGGGCAAGGCTGCTGAAGAAGGTGAACAGATGCATGCGGCATCGAAAGACAGCAGTTTGGCCACATACCTCAGCGAGAAGTGCTGCTAAGGAGGCTTCAGTCCGCAGCAAGTCTAGGCTGTGGCAGCTGCTGGAGGGACCAGCGCCAAGCTTGCAGTGATAGACCTTCGAAAGCTGGCTGGGCTGGGCAGCCATGGTCGGTGCCCACACGGTGCCACTGCGAGCTTATGGTTTTTTTGGAACCTGCCGTTCCACTAGCATTCTTCGCCAGGATGCCCTTTAAGGGCTTTGGGCAGGATGCAGCAGGCTTCTTTGCTTCCTCGCGAGATGTTCAGCGGTTTTAGCGAAATCTTCCACAATTACCCGAAGGCCTTCCCGGAGAACATTTTGACAAGTGAGGGTGAGCTGGAGCGATTTGCAGCAACCCGCAATTCCGGGGCCAGCCTGTCCAGGAATTATTCTCGCCGTTGTATCCCTGTTTCAATACACGGAGATGACGTCCCAGTAGTATAGCTGCTTCGACAAGATTCGCGGCAAAGTAGATGGCAGGGATACTACTTGATACGTGAATTTCAAAATGAGTTCATTTCACATTTGCGGCGCGGCAAGATACATTCTGTTTCTGAGTTGCATGTGGGTATTTGTGTGTGTTGTTTTTGGAGACTAGGCTCACTTTTTTTTCTCGGATCATTTTGTTGACAGTGCTCCACAAACAAGGAAAATTTGAAGTCATCAGTTGATGGGTGTTGTTGAAACATGTCATTTTTGAACAAAAAGACTTTTCAGCAGTGCAGTTTGTTTTAATTTGGCTTTGTTTATGTCGAAGCTTATTTTTTCGGTTTATGCAAATTTACGCAAAACTGTTTTTCAATCTGGGAATTCTCCTTTTGATGAAGTATTTCAAGAAATACTGTAGCTTGACACATCTAAAATTTAAAATGTGTTTTATTTTTTTTGAGCATCTGAAAATCTTCGACCAAGTTCGAATTCCGAGCAGGCTACGTGACGTTTTTCCACGGCGCGTGTTTTGCACCAAGCTTGACTTGGGGTGAGAGTCGCAGAAGTCTTAGTCGTTGCAAGAGTTGTTGGGAAAATGTGGTTTTGGTATCAAAGGTTGTGGTAGGAGTGGTAATGATGGTAGTAGCGGTAGTAGCAGTAGTCGTAGTCGTAGTCGTAGTCGTAGTCGTAGTCGTAGTCGTAGTCGTAGTCGTAGTCGTAGTCGTAGTCGTAGTCGTAGTCGTAGTCGTAGTCGTAGTCCTAGTCGTAGTCGTAGTCGTAGTCGTAGTCGTAGTCGTAGTCGTATAATCGTCGTCGTAGTAGCAGTAGGAGTAGCAGTAGCAGTAGCAGTCGCAGAAGTGGTGGTGGTGGTGGTGGTGGTGGCGGCCCACCCCACCATCGAAATCGAGAGAGAAGCGCGGCGCCCGTGCAAAAACACCCACGGAGCGAAGATCTTGGGGATTCGTAAAAAGCTACGGGTTTCTTGTCCCGTGTGTTTTGTCGCATCCCCCACCCGGTTTGGAACAGCATGGCTCGCCAGTGGATCTTGTTGCCCAGTCCACGCGGCGGAACCCACAGCCTACTTTTTTGTTAACCAAGCAGCGAGCATTAACATGTTCTTGAAATAGCCAAGATGTAGCTATTCAAGAGGTTTGCTCACAGAGAATTACCAGAAGCAAACAGAAGGGTTTGCGGCGCACGTTGTAGGGTGAACGTTCTAGTTTTCATGTCTACCACCACGTGACGCAGTAAGTCTGCACTCAGGTCATCAGATCTAGTTTTGTGAAAGGGGCGAGCTTGTTGGAGTTGCGGTTTAAGCAAGAGGGACAACTGCTTATGTTTACGGTTCCAGTCGAGGGTGGGTTTTCCTCATGTTTGCATGTGCCTGATACGATAGCGTAGGCATGGTTTGCAAGTTTGTCAGCCATGCGCATGAGTTGTTTGCGAAGTGTATGGTGCAGAGATTGCAAATGCACTGCCAACAATTGTGCATTGCTTGCATCATCTGTTTATTTTTGGAGTTCGTGCTTCGAAAAGGCCAGGAAGCTTCAAGGGGCAGCTGAAGGGTTTTTGGCAAACTAGCAGATACCAGCCTGCGCTTTGGTTGTTTGGGGTCGCAGGTTGTGATTGTTGCTCGGACAATTTTGGAGTCTTGTCATTGTTTGGAAAGGGTTGCGTTTGATGATACGTTTTGAACAAGGGAATGTAGAATCACGGCGTGGCCATCCATCATACATCTGTGCCTTTTTTCGCATGTCTGCACAATTTCAGGCATCTTCGCTTGTCATGCATTTCCGTGCCGCCCGCAAAATTGCCGCTGAGGCACTTATATAGTTACGACACACTCCGTGCAACAAAGACATGTTGAACTAGAGGCCAACTTGCAGTATTTACACTTGGCATTCAGCAAGTTTGCACGTTTCATTCTTGCATCATGCTGCTTCAGCCAAATGGGTGCCGGCCCCATCGGAAACACAGCAAGCAGTGGTAGCGGTGGTAGCCTTTCGAACAAGTTCGGTCTGTCTCTCGGGATGTCCGTGTTCGATTGAGCTGCATAGTTGTTGCTTTGAGGTTCTTTGCAGCGGCAGACCAACCTTTGCGTTTCGCTCAGCATAAATGTTCTACTTGCGTGTGCTTGGCTGTTCTTGGCTTGTGTTCCACCACGGACACGAATGCCACGACTGCCACGAGTGCCACGAGGACCAGTAGACCTTTTTTTTCCTCCCATTGGTCCCCTGCGCCGGGGCATGCGGCGATTGCGGGAAGAGCTTTCCACTCAGTCGAAAATGGACTTTGACTGGGAGAGGTGTACGCTGCCAGAACAATGGGCCCTTGCGCGAGGTCGTGCCGTCGATTTGCTGTCTTTACCTATGTGTTTCGAGGCGGGCACCGTAGAATCGATACCAAGTCGTGGAAGAAGTCTTCAGCGCTGACCTTCGCAGGGCTTTTGCAAAATCTGGCCCTAGCAAGGATCAAGGATGATTGCAGCGGGTACATCCTTGATAACGTCCGCATTGTTTCTCTGCGATCAGGGCAAAGCGCCGGCGGCGCGTGCCGCTGGCAGCAGCGTCTTCTCCCGATTGCCGGGCCCCATGTGTGCTTTTGTCTGTGGGCTTTGAAGAGGAGTGTTGTTCTCAGAGTCAGGCACCTGGCTTCCGCTTCATAAGAGCTTAAGGGTCCCCCCTCTTTGTGATAATCGGAGCATGTGAAAAAGCTGTAGGCCACGGCCGTCAGTTCTTTGAGGACTGGGCTTCGTGGTTGGAGGACAGTAGAACGAATATCAGTGGGACGTTGTTGTGATGAACCTCGATGTCCGCGAATGCTCATTCGTTCCATGGCCATAAAGACAGGACACCTTCGTGTCCAAGCTCGACCTGGTTGAGGAAAGCTTACCGCCAGAATTGGCACGAAGGCCATTTCAAGGGCCCAGGAAGGAATAAAGGGCCTTCGGGTGGGAAGATCTGCTGTAAACTCCGCCGTCAGCTACAGCGACTCGTAACGGTTCCCTGCTTTGGGTAACATCTTTCTGGCAGGACGGGCGAGGCGCCGACAAGTGCTGCCAGTGCGAGAAGCGCACGGAGCTCCCCGCATGCGGCATGGCATGAAACAGCTCTTGTAGGTTTTTTGATAAGAGACATTAGCAACAGGATGGCGAAGGAGCCCAGCAATGCAGATTCTGATAATCCAAGCTCCGTGCTGGCCTGTCAAAAATGTTGTACCTGACGGTCCAAGGCCATCATCGAGTCGCGAGTTTGGCTGGGGCAGGCACTTTGCCGGAGCATGTGCGAACATTGGAGAGACGAATCAACCGCACACCCCTCATATCCCCGTCTTCAAGGATCCAGGCGCTGTGCGACGCGTGCGGTACGTCACCGTGGACGCTGGCCCACAACTTCAGGCGACCTCAAGTCTCATTCAGCTTCAGTGCTATGAGAACTTGCGGGCATCTTCAGGTGTCACGCTATTTGAAGCTAGATTTGAAGCTAGATGTGATTTGGGTTGCACATGACATGGTTGCACCATCATGCGACTCACCCCTAAACCACAGTAACCTTTGCCCTGCAGCAAGGCTTTCAATGCCGTCGTCTATCCTGAGCCTTCCATTGGACTGCAGCCTGTGCTGGGCGTCGACGTGCTCTCCTTCAAGCCCGAAGCCAAAATCCCATGAAGAGGGATAGGGCTTGAGGCGGATATTTGCAGATGCTTTCGGATGCTCTTGGATGCTCCTTGTCACTGAGTTCCCACAAACGCCAGCTGTTCGGGGTGGACTGGGCACCGATGCTGCCGGAGCCAGGATATGCCGAGGTGCGGTGTTGTTAGCGCTTACTCTTTTGAATGGCCCCCTTTTAAAAACTTGTGCACATATTTTAGCAGCCCTACTGCGAACAAGTCCGGGCAGGCGCGCATCGCGCCCTTTGTCCGTTCCGTCTACGAGGACTTTGAGGCTTGTCGGAGTCCGCCCAGCGGAAAGGTGCGAGCCACAGCAAGCCGGGTCTGCGCTAGCCAAGTAAGCCCTATCGTCAACCTTGCATCTCCACACGGACTTGCACGGCTTCCCGGCAGATCTATGGGGACGCGCCTGAGTTCTTCAGCCCCTACATGTTCTTCAGCCGGCCTGAGGGCCCCGAGGCCGCGAGCGGTTACCAGAGAGTTTTGCTTCAGACATGCGATGGAGGGTTCAGGGGGGTTTAGGAGGATTTAGGGAACGATTAGGCTAAGATTCCACATGGGCCCATGGAGGTTCTTTAAAAGGGGTTTCGAAGCAAGGGATGCGGCTTGCCGCATGCCTGGATTCCGATGTTTCCGGGGCTGATGCCCACTGATGCCCACTGATGCCCACTGATGCCCACAGTCGTGCGAGGCCATCTCACCTGGATCCGAGCTCTGGGAGGTGTTTACCCGGTGACCTTTCGCAGGTTGATGACCTTGGTGTGGTTTTCAGGATGTGGGTGTCTTTTTCAGGATGTGCCTGGAGTGATTGGAGAGTAACAGCCTTTTCCTTGCCCCAGGTACTTTGATGAGTGCGCCAAAGCCACAGGGCAACCTGGTTTTTGCTCTTTCCTTGAAGGGTTCAGTCCCAACCCCGAAATGCCTCGACGTGAACAGGTTCATGTTACCATGTGGGTATGTGGTGCTAAATATATGATGGTGACTTGTAGACATGTAACGACCAACAAAACCGCTTCTAGACCTTCGGCCGATCCGCTATGCGACATCATTGGGCGATTCGACAAGAACTTTCAACTTAGGCCGACGTTCATTAGAGTTGACGCGAGCAGTATCACTGCACAGGACATGGTTGGACTCATTTGTCATTGTGGTATCGCTGGCAGATTCAATAAGCTCAAATAAACGGCGATACACCATGCATGAGAGTGAATCCGCCGACTGTGCTGCTCAGTCTGCTGGAGGTAGCTTTTGTCGCATCGGCTCAGCATGTATCGACAAGCTCTTAAACTGAAGCTACCACCCATAGCTGGAGAGATATTGGCAACGTAGCGTCCAGTGCCACGACCCCGACAAGCCTGAAATCCGAGAAGCCCCAGCACCTATTGCACGTTGTCGCGCGTTGTTTTGCACCTTGTTGCCATGCCGGAGAAGCCCGAAGACGGCTCAGAAGTCGTGTCCATCCTTGCGCTGAAGCGACAGGAGAAGAAGGAGGACCGATGGTAAGAACACGTGAGAATGTAAGAACGAAGCAGGAACACGTGATGAGTCTGTAGGTCCCGGTATGCAAGTTACGCAGTATTTAAAGGGGAGTCAGAAATGTTAAGCTTTAGGGCTTTCGCTTCAGGAGAACCGGCGGGAGCGGCAGAGCCAGCTTCAATGGCTGATGCGGGAGGTCGAGGCATCGCAAGAATACCAAGAAGCAACTTTCAGCAAATCTCAGCAATGCTCGACACTCCCAGGGGCATCTGGAGTAGTCTGGAGTGGAATGTCAGGGAGTGTCAAACAGAGCACCTTGCTATGGGCGAACATCTTAAAGTCGTCATGTCAAGATACGATTCCTCAAGCACTGGAGCCCCGGCTTCCAAACTTCCAAACATCTTTGAGCATGTCCGCGAGATCGACTGGGACCAGGTCGTGGAGCGGGAGCCTTAGAGACGAAGTCAGAGTCAGACTAAACTCTAAAGCCGGTGCCTACGCTCCTATGCTTGCAGCCTTGCACACCTTGCAGCCTTGCAGTGCTTGCCAGGCTTTCTTTTTTTGGCTTTCCATCCGCCTTCCGAGGCTGATGGCCACCCAGGGCCTGAACCCGAACATCAAGGAAGCGGGATCTGGCATCACCAGCCTCCACCGCGCGGAGCTCAGCCTTTTGCCCAGCACGCATCAGATGGCTCATGGCTTGTCCTCCACTTGTTCGGCTCCTGCCTTCAGATTCCTTCTCCTTCCTTCTGCGAGTGATTTTTTTCAATGCCAGGCGCGGCCAGCGCAGGGCAGGCTGAGGTGCTGCTGCCCGGGGCCCGGAGCGTGTCGCGCTCTCTGGCTTCTTTTCCCTCCCTCCCTACCTCTCTCCCTCTCCCTCCTCCCTTCCTTCTCTCTCTCTCTCTCTTTTTAAGTTGTCTTGTTGAAGAATCGAAGAGTCCTGAGGTGGTGCATCCAGACCAAGGCCCTGCCGAAGAACATCTTCCCCCCTTGACCTCTCTCGTTTGGTCTTGTATTTCCTTTCTCGTTTTGGTCCTCGAGCGAGGGCTTTTTTATCTACAGTTTCTTCCCTCCAGGCCGAAATCGATGGCCGCACGCAGCTTGGACGCAGCGCCCTGCACTATGCTTGCGAGTGTTCGCGCCAGGCACTCAGAGCAACCAAAAGAGTGAGGGCGTGGGCAAGCAGTGGGCAAGCAGTGGGCAAGCAGTGGGCAAGCAGTGGCGACATGGGCAAGCGTCCCACGAGCTCCAGGTCCACGCTGCGTGCGACTCTTGCTGGAACAGCAAGCTGATGCGAATTTGCGCCCACGTCTCAGAAACGCTTCTGATGTGAGCACGCACCAGGTGGGTCGTGACTTGTTGGGCAACTGGACCCCGATCTTGACTGGAGGCACTTTGAGCTATCTCACCCCGCTACACTTGGCGTGCCAAGCCAACAGTGTGGAGGCAGCACAGCCAGAATGGACACCCTGCAACAAGCAGCTTGACACGTGACACGTGCCAAGTAAAGTCCATTCGTACGTTTGCATGACAGCGGCCATGTCGCGTTGGTCTGATCCCAATGAGTCATGAAATGATTTGACAGGTGGTCTCTGCGTTGCTACAAGATCCGAAGCAGGCCATCGTTTGGTCTAAGCACTGCAGTGGTTAGTCTTTTTTCCTGCATTGGATTGGGAAAGGTTCAGGATTTCCAGAAACATCCCTATTGTCAACTCAGTCTCCGCTTCTCCCAAAGGTGGTTTTTTCATTGTGCCTCCAGGGTGCATGTCTGGGTGCATGTCTTGGCTCCCCCAAATTTATGTCACTCAGCCATTGAGCTTTGTGAGGTAGTTGAAGCCTCGTTCCTCCGATGTCTTTCAAGTTCGTGTCTTATGGCCCCGAACCTCTCACATCTCTCGTGCTTCCGAGGTGGTCGATGTGGATGCAGAGGACACGAAGCGGCGTTCGGCCGAGGTCCAGCGACTAGCGAGTTTAACAGTTTGATGGTTCGCTCCTCGGCCTTATGTGGTTTCTTGGACGGGTGAATGCTCAGTGCCATGCTCACAAACGGTTTGCTCGGAGCACGCCTTCTTTCGCAGAATTCCAGAAGCTTTGCTCATAGTGCAGCGGGTGATATTTGATGTATCTTCCAGGCATAGTTGACCTCTGAACTCGGGAGGGGACTTCTCTTCGCCCTTTCATTCTTGGTGCAGGCCCTGAGCACAAACCAGCAGATCCACCGGCTCGTGCGGAAATATCGCGGCTGGGACTAATGTTTAATGGATTGCATCGTAAAGGACTGTTTGCTGCATAGCGCAAACAGCATGCATGGGACGTAGTCCCACGGCCATCTGCCTTTTCCAAGAAATCTCGCAGTAAGCTCTGTGTTTTTTTTGCTTGGGAATCATGGTGCAGCATTCTCATTCCCAGACGTAACATTCGAGCACCGTGAGAGGAGCAGGAGCAGGTGGAGCAGTGGTAGGAGGTCGTCGTCGTCTTCGTCGTCGTCGTCGTCGCCGCCGTCGCCGTCGCCGTCGCCGTCGCCGTCGCCGTCGCCGTCGCCGTCGCCATGCCCGTCGCCGCTGCCGCCGCCGCCGCCGCCGGCACCGTCACTGTCGTCGTCGTCGTCGGTGTCTTCGTTTGAGGCTCGTCGCAATAGCAGTCGATGTCGTAGGACTTCTTTAGCAGAAGGCGTAAGCGTAGGCGTATAGGCTTATAGGCGTATAGGTGTATATCGGCGTATAGGCGTATAGGCGTGCAGGCGTATGGGCGTATATATAGGATTATATAGGCGTATGGGCGTATAGGCGCATAAGCGTATGGACGTAAAGGCGTATAGGCGTGTCGGCGTATAAGCGTATAGGCGTATAGGCGTGCAGGCGTAATAGGCGTATAGGCATATAGGCGAAATAGGCGAAATAGGCGTATAGGCGCATAGGCGTATTAGCATATTAGTGTAGCAGGCGGAAGCCTAGGCGTAGGCGTAGGCGTAGGCTAGGAGCAGGAGCAGGAGCACCAGTCACAGGTTCATTAGTTGCAGTACTTCGCACTAGCATCAGCATCAGGATCATCAAGGGCATCGAGGAGCCAGAGGGGCACTCGCAGTAAAACAGCAGAAAACTTGAGACGAAGCACGGTAAGAGTTGTACCGAACAGCTAAATTAACTGGATGGCTTCCCAGGAATTGTTTGTCAAACCAAGGCGCGCAGCTGGACGAGCGCAGGAAAGCACAGCTGGTCGAGCGGGGCCCTTAACGTTGAAAAGTCGGAAAGCAGCCCAACATCCTGATGAGATGCTTTGCGTCATGTTGCATTCAAAGCTTGGGGACTCCCCTCCAACCAGCCCAGAACGAAAAGGGTTCCACATCATGGGCGTTCCGAAGCCATCAGTCTCACGGGCTCGTAAACGAAGGACCTGATGCCCTGACAACCAACAGTATATACTCAACGCACCACATATGCCAGCATTCACACTTCACTTTCAGCCCTACCCTGTGGTTCACGGTGGGGTTTGGGTTTAGGTTCTGAGCTGGGGTTGCCCCTTACCTTTTAAATGTAGAGTTTAGCGTTAGGCTGTAGAATCAGGTTTTGTCTTTTCTTGTGGATCATGGTGGCTTTAGGGTTCAGGGTTTAGGGTTGTAGGTTGCGGGTTTCCCTCTCAACCCTGTGCATCGTGGTAGGTTTAGGGTTCCGGGTTTGTCTCTCCCAGATTGTTCGTATTTGGTTGCTAACAGCAGTTGTTTGCCTTTTTTTTTTGGGGTGGGGGGGGGTTAACTTTGCAGCTGGGAGGGCGGGAAACGCCATTTAAAACTGTGAGTTCTGACTCCCAGGCAATGCCTGGGACGGCTCTTCAGTTTCTTCGACGTCAATCAGGACCCACTACCTAGTGGCACCAGGCAACACCGCGTAACATGTTGTGATGACAACACAACTTCACCAGGCGATTTGGCGTGCCCAAAGAACATCATGTTTCTTTCCTTGTAGCATCTGAAACGTTGGCTCAGTGCAATGCGCATCTCCGCCTGGCCTCTGCCTTGCACGGCTGTGTGAAGAGGTCAAAAAACAAGTGCATCTCGGGCACGTCTGCCACAAGACAGATGACTGGGACTACCAACCGGAACAGTGACACGACCAGCCAAGCTTGTGGAAGCTTGCGCGAAAAAATGTCACGCTCTAATCCCCAGTCAGATGTGCAAGGCACAGAGACACGAACAGCACGTGAGTTGTAGTTTGGGATGTTTCCCCTTACACTGACAGTCCTTGATAGGGATTAAAGTGCCCCTATTATAATCCGTATGAAGGACTGATAGTATAAGGGTGAACATCGCAAATTGTGATTGCAAACGCGTCAGTTCGTTCATTCATTTACTGGTTCACGTGTTTGCTTTCCCTGTAAG